ACTGATAAGTGGTCAAAAAAAAACTATTGTTTTAGTCTTGTTCTTCCTGCCTTGGACAAGCAAACAAATGGCCTCGTAGTGTGGCCACCTGCTCTTCAAGTAAAATGTCCTAAGTCAAGATATGGATATGCATAGCCAAAAGATCAGACTAAGGCCCTGACAGTACGTCTGACCAAAAGGCTTTCCCTCTTCCAGCAAGACAAAAATCTATAATTTTTTTTTAAATGGCTAGATTTTAAAGGCAATCTGTAATGGCTGAATCTATTATTTTGCCTCTTGAGTCATATGGCAGTGTGTGAGAGTCAAACATTTGATAGCTGATTGAAAATAAATGAAATGTGAGCGCATTTCAGTGGAAGTAGGCCAGTTGCTAACATTCTCGTCTATCTCTGAAAGATAAATTTCATTATTTAATTGGATAAAAATCCAGAGCCATATTCATCAGATGGGGCCGTGTTACAGGGGAGTGGAAGTGGTCTCCTGGCCTTTTGGGTGCTAATTGTATCACTTCTCACATTGAGGTAACCCATTCTTCTGAGTGGTATTTGTAGTGAACCTCCTTGAAAACTTCAGATTCAGGTACCATGTCTTTGAGAACATGGTTCTTGGATCGGCGTGCAGCTTCCACAGCACTGCGCCGGGCTTCTGCTACAGCCAGGCATGTTATCTGCGGCTGATTTAAGCCTGGAGAATGTTGCATCTTAAAACCTGCTTTCCAGTGTGCATTTGTAGAGCATAAGCCATCATCCCTCTGTAGACTAAGTAATTTCTACAAGGGATGGAAGACTCTTAACTTCTAAGTGCCATAAAATATTAGAAGAATAGGGAGAAAATAGTACAAGAAAACAAGTTTGAACTTGTACTATGCGTTTTTATATGCAAGCTTTCAAATGTCATGCTTATATTCTCAATTATATTTTTCTAACTACTTCAGAACAGTATTAATTTTGGCGAGTTAGCACAGTCATCAAGTTTTTTAATATGGTAAATTTTGTTTCAGGTTGCTTTGCTTTTTTAATATCATTGTAGTATCACAGCTATGGCAATATAAAGAAAGTAAGTTGTTCTTTACATTTATCATTGTTTACTTGCTTTTAAATTAGTTACATGCTTTTACATAAATTTAGAAGCCCTATTGGTCTGTCTATAAGATGTATCACAAACGACACTTTCCTAGAGTACGAATGCCAAAGTGTTGAACTTACTTTTAAAATGTTTAGATTATTTTGATTGTATCAATGTATAGAATTAGTATAAATATATATTATTTAAATGTGTAAAATTTCTAATGCTTAAATAGTTTTACAGGGTGTAAATTAGTGATCTGAAAATAAAGCAGTAAACTTTTTTATCTATCCAGTGACTCACGCAAGCCTATCAGGCAAATGTCCTATGGGTAAGTTGATGTCATTTAATAAGAACACAATTCACATTTTAATTTTTAAGTGTAGGCAAATTCACAACTTTAGAAATATAATATAGTTCATACAATAGTTTCAGAACCTCGTAGAATAAAAGGTATATACTTTCCTATGATAAAATTGTGGCCTATGGAATTGAACAATAACGTAGCACCATTTCTGACAAATAATATTAAATAATGATTAAACTTGATTCTCCATATTGAGATAGTTGTCTTTATGTCAACCTTCATAGGGAAGGAAGCCTCCCATAAAACACTTTTTAGTAAAATGAACACTAGGTTATCTTACCATCTAAGCTTTGGTTCACGAAGGTCTCTGGACTTGAAAACACTTTGCCTATAAGACCCCTTCTGAACATTCCTTGAGATGCTTTCCAAAGCCTACAGTTAAAAAACTGGGACAGGGCAGCACCTGTGGCTCAAAGGAGTAGGGCACTGACCCCATATGCTGGAAGTGGCAGGTTCAAACCCACCCCAGCCAAAAAAAAAAAAAAAAAAAACTTAGACAGTAGTAAAGCATTCTCCATGTAAATGGACTCCACTCCTTGGAGAAGAGCAGAAAGTGGGGAGGATATTTTTTCTTTGTCTGGTTTCAAAAGACCTGTTGTGCCTCATGATGGCAGGAGAAGAGAGTGGAACTAATTGAACACTGTCCCTCTCTACTTGAAGATGCATAACCTCCATGGCTGTTAGAAGATTGAGATTATTTATATGCAGACGTGATAATCACATTCACAAATGGTTTAATCTAAAGACCATATCAATAACAAAAATATATTCAGAGGTCCAAACTTGGTAAACAATTGATCCAATTGTCATTCAGGTTAGTGACTATTATTACTTATACTGTGAAGGATTGTTTTACGCAGTATTTTCATTTAAATATAAGACATCTGCAAAATATACGGCAGATAATTATAGTGTAAAAATTAAACATTTCATAATTATATTAACAGTGGTAAGATGAGAAGTGAAGGGTGAGTATATTTTTAAAGTTTTCCAATGGAAAATTATATGTATGTGTCTGTAGGCATATAGACTTACTACGTTCTTCCTCATTGAATGTCTGCTAATAATTTAGAGAAACACTTTAGAAATATGCTTTTGTCATTAAATATTAATTAAATAATTTCTATACAATAAAAATGTTCATTTTTTAATACAAGTGGATAAACTTCTATCAGGATTAGGATTGAAATACAAATTAAAATGTAGAGGTGAAATTATCTAAATACAAAAATTCTCTGTATAAGAATAATATAAAAATTGCTGCGGATGGGGGCTCACACCTATAATCCTAACACCCAGGGAGGCTGAGGCAGGTGGACTACTTGAGCTCACAAGTTCAAGACCAGCCTGATTAAGAGCAACACCCTGTCTCTAAAAAATAGCCAGGCATTGTGGTAGGCACTTGTAGTCCAGCTACTTAGGAGACTGAGGCAAGAGGATTGCTTGAGCCCAAGAATTTGAGGGTGCTGTGAGCTATGCTGAGCCACAGCACCCTACCAAGGGTGACAAAGTGAGACTCTTTCCCAAAAAAAAAAAAAAATGTATGTGCATATATATATATACATTCAGTCATTTATTCACTCTTCATGAACTCAGTGTAACTATTTTCTATTATCTACTTATGATACACTGGATCTTTTAGTGTGTGTGTGTGTGTGTACCTCATATATTTGTGTGTATATATGTGTGTGTACGTAAATATATACATGTATCTATGGTAGTATTTGGTCAAAGGAAATAAGTATAACAAACTAAATGTTCTATAAAATTGAGTATGGAGAAATAAAGCAAGAGGGGCTTCATGGAGAAGGTGAACCATGACCTGTTTCAGAAGTTATTGAGCTTGGATTAGTCAAGAGGAAGAAGAAACAGGAAACATTTTATAGTTAACCTCCCAATGATTGGGTTTCTTACTAGTGTTATTTATGCAGTGAATGTTATTACTGTCACTTATCAGAGGTCACGGTGTCCAACCCATTAACTACCAGTGAAACTAGAAGGGAAAAGTTAGTTTCTGAGACCAAACAATTATCCAGGATTTTCTTAGTTATACCAGAAGCTGCTACAATTCTACCCAGAAGTATCTTTCATATGTTCTTTTTTCTTAAAGTAATAAAAATATTTTGGCTGGAAGAAGAAGGAAAATCGTAGGAGAAAATGTTTTGGCTTTCTTATCTCTCCAAAATGTAGAGGAATCGAATGGGAAAAACTCTTGTATTGTTACTATCCTAAGAACCATGAGTCACAAAGGATGGCTTAGGTTTTTTCACTTTAGCATACCCCATACTTGAAGGTACAATATAAAATTATATTTTGACTTAAAGTAATTTTTACGATATATTTAATTGGATATGGTAAATGTCACCTTCAAAGTAACATCACAGAAAATATCATCCCGATACTATTATTCTTCAATTAGTTCACCTTATAAATTATTATATTATATTTGTGTTATGATTTTGACACATCAGGAATTTGAAACGAAATTTCCTCAATATGACCGATATGAGGGAGTCATTTAGGTCTTTTTAAAAATAACACGTTGACTCTTTTGAAAGGCCAAAACTGACCCTAACACTTTTAGCTACTAAAGTTAATGGGGGCTTTGAAACCATTAATCTGTCCATGCCCTGTTCTTTCATTCTGAAAACTTTACATCATCCAGTCTGTGCTGTATGTCCTGTCTTTGCTTCAATTTTCATAAAACATTGCACATTCATAATGTCTCCCCAAGTGATCTCAGAGGACTTATTAGATATTTATTCTTATAACATTCAAGTGGCTTCTCTAGCCACGTGGCATGTCACAGTGATTTATTTAAAGGAAAAATCCACAGCCTGATCACATGTTAAATTCACAATGTGCTCCTAATGAAAGTCTATACAGATTATGGACAATGCCATTTAAGGAGAAATTTCCATTTCATTTAAAATTCTTTGGCAAGTATTGAACTCAGTCATGCAGTTCAAGAAAAAAAAAAAGACAGAGAGGGAGAGAGAGATCCATCATTTTTCTGGTAGTAAATTAAGAAGAAAATTATGTAAGGCAGTGAAAAATATAGCTCAAAGTTGAACTATAATGACTGTGACTAATGTTAATGTGCCGCTCTTCCTTTCTAAAATTACAGAAACATGGGCAGTACTTAGAAACAACTGGTAATACGCTTTGCCTCCTAAAAATTTCCATCTGAAGAGGTGGAAATTACAAGCTGATTTGATGCATTTTCATTAATACAATGATTCGTAGATGTTAGCATACTGCCCTTATCAAACTCTTTTTGCTTTATCCTGAGTATTAATGTATAAGATTATTTTCATAAACAAAATAGAGATCATAAAACAAGTTAATCAGTGTAATGCATCCTTTCCAAAATACCCACAATGAACGCTATCTAACCTTTCTTGTCTGAATCAGCTCGGTAGCCACATGAATGGTAGGACTTTAATTATATTCAATTATTCATCAAAATGGTATCATATTTTATCATTTTTCACACTATGAGTGTTTCCCAATTAAGTGAGTAAAAGGGGAGAAAAATTACATCTTTGAAATGGGATTCTGTTTCCAGAAATTAAATGCAACCAGCTCATCGGAAGGCAGCACAGTTGATGTTGCTCCACCCAGAGAAGGTGAACAGGCTGAAATCGAACCCGAGGAAGATCTTAAACCAGAAGCTTGTTTTACTGAAGGTAAAAAGTTCTAAGGTGGTTAGATGTGATCTCCCATAGTTCTTTACAGAGACCGAATATAGCTCGTGTAAGGAAAATATTTAAAACAGATGGTGAAGGCTGGTGTATCATCTTTGTTTTGCTCTTTTCTTTTGAAAGCTGATCTATCTCTATTCCTGGATTATACTACCACAGTGACTGTGCCTGGACAATTAAGATGATGTGACATGTCTTTTTTTCTTTTCATCCGCCAGAATGTGAGGAAGCTGACCCTAGGAGATGCATGGCATTCTGGAATGTCATGTCATTGATATTGCAATCCCTTCAGAACTCACTGGCCATGGTGTAATTTGATTTAGAGATGCTGCAGTAATTACATTCATCCCTTACAATTTCAAATGTGGTTAACGTGTGCAGTGGCCAGAGCTGTTGTGAGACGTAGCTGTGTCGCAAGGAGAGCAACAGTCATTCAGACAGTGGCCAGCACTGTCTTGCTCACCAATCAGTGAATACTTATGAATTCGATGTGATTGTATTTAATCTAATCACTAGTAGTTCAGAGTCAGAGCAGGAGAGTGGATGGAAGTTAGAAATAAGATGGGAGCTTGGAGGGAGAGGAAAAGGAATGAGAGGCCTTGACTGACAGGATGAGTCACGGGTGTGCCTAAGAAAAGCACTGAGGCTGAAAATAAATTAGCTCGGGAAACTGACAGCGCCTGATACCTGGGGAGACAGCAGGAGTGTGCATGGAAAGGGAGTACAAATCCAAGATCACCTCAAAATATGAATAAACCACACAAATACATAGTTGGGCCCAAACCCGAGGGATGTACCTGGACCCCGTTTCCATCAATGGCCTTGAGGTAATGAGATCCTTCCTGGTATTGAGAGAGGAAACTATAACTAAACCTCTGTGAAGTATCTCCTTGACTTGT